AAAAAAAAAAAGGAAGTTATATGTAAAGGTAGTCTCAAAATGGAGACCTTGTTTCCATATATGACATAACTGTACTGAAGCTGCTTTGTGCAGGAGGTTAAGAATTAAATTACATCATCAAGAGTGGACAGTTGTGGTTACCATTACTCAGTTGTAGTAATTACAGTGGGTGTTTTTAAGGGAAATAATAGAATGTATGTGTTTTTTCTAAGCTGGAGATTAGAAAGTGAAACCAAATGCTGGATTACCAGAAACATAGATACATTGCTAAGCTTTTGTTATGGATCATTAGTAAAGAAAGGCTTCTTTTTTGTGTGTTTATAATATTTCTCTGAATTTAGCAGTTTATTTTATCTTAAGGTATGCTTAAAGTCAGTATGAAGGGTAGAGCATCTTTTGGTTTTGTTGTAAAGAGGAACGACTGGGCTTTTCTTAAGACTTTGCTTAAAATAATGTTTAGTCTGGGTATGAAAAGTACTCAAATACACAAATTGTACCTAAGAACATAAAAGCTTTTGAAAACTTTTCTTAATTTTCTTAAGTTGAAATAGACTTGAAGAATAGCTTGTTTTTGACTTTTTTCCAGTGATAAGTAACTGACTCTGCAAAATCAATGTTTAGTAAGTCACTGGAACATTTGCTAATAAGACTGTAGAATAAATGAGTTTTTAATTGAGTTAAATAATTGTTTGATCAAATGCATATGTTTATGTTCATTCTTGCTAGATTTGATTATTTCAATCAAATTGGATTTTTTAAAGTCATTTCCCTTAATGAAGTAAAGAATTTTTTTCGTAAGTTAAATTAGTTCTTGCCACATCTTATATTCATATTTCAAAGGAAAACACAAAATACAAAAGTCACAATAGAAGTATGAAATTTACTACTACTTGTCTTTCTCAAGTTCCACAGATTTTAACATGCATGGAAAGATCCTTAAACACTGCATTTCCTATACTGTAAAAACCAGACACACATCTTTGTAGTCTCTTATTAAGCAGCTCTGAGTCTTTGGCATAGTTCATTCTTACTTTTCTTCACTACTTTTGTTCTGGGTGTGGGGACTGGTGAGGACTATAAAAGTACCTGGTCTGCTTAGGAAATAGTTGTTCTATGTGTAGGCAATAGATGATGTTTTTATCAGGGGGTTTCTTATACAGTGGACTTGTTAGGTAGGTCACCACAAGGAAATTTTTTTGACTCTGGGGAGCGATGGTTGCTGCAGAATAATCATTAATATCCCAGAGTAAGTAGAAACATTAGGATTTGGAGCATCTTTTTTTCCCCAGTACATTTGTATCTGCTTAAACACTTGGGGTAACAAAGATCCTCATGTGCAATCTCCCAAGATATGCTGTCTCTTTTTTCTTTAAGGATGTGTGTTTGGGACATCATCTCAAACAAAGACAACAACTGTTTTACAGGCCAGCAAGATCCAGTAGTGTTTTGTACATGCTGAAAACTTCAAACGTGTAAAGTTAGCAAGCTAAGGGAATATGAGGGTGATGATGCAGAGAAACAGGCAGAGGGAGAGCAGCCAGGGTGTAACTGGTTGGAACTCAGTGGAACCTGAGCTCCACTCAACACTTGTACTTCTTGGCTTTTAGGATGCTCTTGTGTTTGTGTGTCACTGTTTTCTGGAGGTTGTTTCCCTAGTTCTGATTTTGAGTTGAGGAAGATTTGAGCACATGAAAATAAAACACAAAAAAACAATTGTGAAAAACCACTAATGAAAATTTGTCACAGAAAAATATATTGGGTGTAGAGATATTTTAGTTATTGTGGAAGGAGAGACTAACTTCATTTGATTGCTTTTTCTGTGTTCTTGATGTAGAAGCAGTTAATCTTAGTTTAAGCCATTTTGCTTAATTTTTAACATAATCTCACTTTGCAACATGTGTGAGGTTGGATACATTTCAAGTAGCACAGCCTTAAATTGGTCCAATTGATTTCTGAATTCTCTGGGGGTGAGGTTCACCCCCACAGTACCACAATACTCAAATGCAAAGTGAGAAACACTCCAGGAAATCAAGGGGAAATATTCTTAGCTTTGTCTCTGTACAAATGTTAGAACAAACAGAATTCCTGAGCACAGGTGTGTTATTTATAGAGAAACACAATGCAGTGATGAGTGTGTTTGGGTGACAGTATGAGACAAAGAGCACAAGAAATAGAGTTAGATGTTAAGAATGGTCTTCTGAATTTGTCAGATGTCTTGGTCTGATAATTCTGTTTGATAGTCTAGCTGGCATGACAGGTAAGAGAAGCTGTAGCTGCAGATACAACTGGACTCTGACAAAATTGTCTAACTGGAAGGCTTTCTCTGTGTTCCTGAGTTGTGATCTTGCTGGTCACTGCTCTGTCTTTCCGACAGAAGAGTCTGGATTATGTTTTTCTATGAGTTCTCTACTTGGACTTCTAATATGGTTGTCTGAGAAACTGAATACTGACAGTGATAGATTGGTACAAAAGGTAGGGGATCATTTGTTAAAGCAATACTTGGCTTAATCTATGATAATTGATTACTGATGACTGATTAAGACTGCACCTCAGGTGGGGTCCTGCAGCGTGCTCCTTCATCTTGTATCTGTAACACACTGAAGAAAATTTGGTTGGTAGGATAGAAAGTATGCTTAGAAAGAAATTAGGTCGTTACCAAATGCTTTTAAAGTCAGTTTTGAATTTTAATTCTGTCTTGAAATTACTGTGCCTGTAGTCAACAACATGAAATTCCTTACACAAATGTAGAGCAATATGCTGCTGTAGGGGGGCATAAAAGTTTCATGTGAATATAAAGCTAGGGGACAGGATCAAGGCTGAGGTAATAAGAGGAGTATTTGGGGACAGTGAATATTAAAACAAACATAAGAACTGAATTTTTGAGGGAGGGAAAGAAACAACCTGGGATGTGTTAATAAGAATGCAGTTTATAAGATATAATTGTTCTGAGTAACTTAACACTGTTGAGATTTCAGTAGAAGTACTGCCTTGTCTAGGTGTCCTGCTTTTAGATATGATCAAATTCTAGGGCCCAGGAGAGGCAGTGGGAACAGGCAGCTGTTTGGAAGCTATACAAAAAGACTCTAAGTGTTAATACATACAGTTTGGAAAGAAAAGGTTGCATACTTCAGTAAAGTTGCAAACTTCAGGGTAATACAGATTCCTCCCTTTTTTTTTTCTTTTTTTCCTGTATAGTTCTATTTAATCCTTTTTATCCAAAGTATGTTATTATTTGATTTTTCTTTTACTCATAATCCAAATTAATGAAACATTAGAGACTGCTGTTTTTCTTGAGAGATTGAAAATATAGCAATAGTCAGCTTTTGTGTTGGTTAAAATATTGATTTCAAATCAGCTTTGCAATATTATTTTAGCATTATGAGTGGAATGGCACAGATATCTAAAGTTTTAGTGTGCAGAAGTGTGGATGCGGAGAAAAGCAAGTAAGGTACTGTTCATGTAAAAAATGGTACAATTTTCATATCAAAAACAAAATGTGTAACATGCAAGATTTTAATAATATTTCACAGCTCAACTTTATTACTTGTAGCTAGTTTATTGCTTTATCAAAGCTTAGTGAATGTTTCTTTAATTTCTTATGATTCACAGTTTCTGTGTGTGTTCACAAGTTCCTTTCGTCTTCACTACACACCCCCTCACCTCCCTGTAGTTGATTCAGACTTCATAATATGTCTTTGTTTTCTGAGCTTGCAATACTAAATAACTTTGGGAGTATATATTCCCAGAATAGTTTAGCTGCTGTGAAACACTGTTAATTTTCTTAAAGAACTTTAATTTGCTTGCATTCATAATTTCTGCTTACTCTTAAATCATTTCTGGTCTTTGCAGTTTCATAAGGATTTCAAATACATTGAGTTTTAGTACTCAAGCCCAGTTTTAATTAGCTGAGGAAATGAAAGCCAACAACTTCTTCACAATTCCATTGAATAACTTTGTTTACCGGGATCTAAAATATCCAGAGCAGAACATTACAGCAGAATTTCTGTTCTTTTAATTTCTTCTTTGAATTTAATGTTCAGTCTGAAACTTCTTAGTTTATCTATCATTTGAGCTGGTGCTTCATCTTGGCACTGCAGTTGCCACAGAATACTGCTCTGTGTTCTCAATGCTACTATCACTTAGTGCTTTTTTATTTATGTCATAAATAAATTATTTCAGAATGTGTGGTTGAAAATAATGAAAGGGAAAAAGCTTTTGAAAATAACTAGGAAATAATGTTATGAATGGCTAAATGGTGGTATTACCGTGTTGAGTGTAGGCAGGGGGCTGTCTGCTCAAGTCAGCCAATTAAACATGAAATGCTTGCTTTATTTGTATGTAGAACTAAATAAATGATACAGCTTACAAAAAGTGATGTGCTTTTGTTGTGTCTGTATAGACACATAAATTTTTATATATACGAATATTTTATATATATGTGTCTGTATGTATGTATGTATGACAAGACCTTATTTTTAAGAAATGTTGCCCATGGAGCCTAAAATAAACATGTAAGAGGTCTCATTTGTTTTTCCTGAAGCAAATGCCATGGCATGGTAGATAAAGAAGGGTTATTTTTGATGTCCTTCCCAGACTGAGTGCCCAGCCCTCCGTGTGTTTCCTTGCCATGGTGCACCTTGTTGGCCTATGGATGACCATGGCTGGACACGTTAGTGGTGAGGGAGAGCAGCTTGGAGTTTCTGTAAGAGCTTGTACAATGTAATGAGGAGGAAATTAGGAGCTGCTGCTGATGTAGACTACCTGATGTTACATCTAAAAGACCTACTTCCACCTGAGATTTGTATCCCCAAAGCTGGGGTCACGTGGGTACTTAATGTATGAAAACAAACAGTACCTAACTCATTTTTCAACCTCAGGCATGTGGTGTCCTAAGCCATTCAATACTTGATATTTTTAGACACAGAAATACGTCTTGTTAAATTTTAAACTAATTTTGTTTACTTGATTTTTTAGAAGTTATTTATTTTTTTTTCTTTCAGTTTAACTTTGTTGGAAGAATCCTTGGGCCCAGAGGACTAACAGCTAAACAACTTGAGGCAGAAACAGGATGCAAGATAATGGTCCGAGGGAAGGGCTCAATGAGGGACAAAAAGAAGGTAAGGTCTTCAAGGGCAGTGTAGTTTCAGATGCATAATTTTGTTTTCTACTGGAGGATAAGCTCATGTCTCTCATTCTTGTTGTGTTCTTACTATTATGCTTTTTTGTTATCTAATGTCTTACACAGACTTAGTAAACAACATAGGCTGTCCTGAAGAAGTAAAATGTACACACTCCATAATTCTGCAATTGGAAGTCTTAACTAGCAATTACAAAGTATTCTCAAATAATAATTAACTTTGAATTGTGTCACATTTAATAAGGTAAAGGTAAAAATTGAAGTTAAATGTATTTTTCTGGGAAGGAGCTGTTCACCTCAAAGGTCTTATTAATGTAACCTTACTGTATTGAATTACCAAAGTAATGATTTGTGCATGGAGTGTGGATTGGGAAAAAAAAAGTTAAATGTATTTCTGGCAGTCACTTCTGTCTGAGTGAACCAAAAAGCACTGTGTTGGTTTTGTTTTGTGTTCAGGTGGAGTTGCAAAGTAACTAGGGCTGTTCTTGCCTTGTCCTGGAATATGCATGCTCTGCCCATATGAATGGGCAAACTGCATGATAGAGCCTTCCTGAATGTCAGGCTGCTTTTGTGGTAACTCTGTTTTTCTAGGTTTATTTTCTAGCTATTTCCCTCTACCTCTGGCTACTGCTGCTGAAGTTACACCACCATCTCCACTGTAGTTTTGAATGTTTCCTCTTTGTTCCCAAAAATACAGTTTCTTTTTATTCTTTTTTAGGAGAAACCCTCCCCCTCTTTTCCTTACATGATCAGTCACATAATGCATTCTATTGATACATATATAGTATGTAACAATTACAATAGAAAGTTAATATCTACCCAGTTAAACATCTTTTTCTTCCCAGAGCTTATAAATGTGTTGCCTTCAAATTTCATTTAATGTTTCTTGTTTTCATAATCTGCTGGAGTACTGTTGCTGTTCTTTGTCTTATTCTACCATTGTTGTAGATTTTGGAGTTTGTGAAATACCAGTTAGAGAACCACGGAGTGGTGGAGGTTCACTCCTCAGGCAGAGTAACTATTTCCTAATTTCCTAGGACCATGCCCAGGTGGCTGCTGGGTGTAGTGTCCTCCTACCACGGTGCTTCAGAACCTGTCCTGTCCTGTGGGAAGTTGGCTCTCTAGACAGCTTGGGCAGGTTTAATTTCTGGGGAAGTATTTTTGACTGATTTCTCCTATTCTCCATGCATTTTTTTTTAAATTGTACTTTTTGACAATTCATAGAAGATTAGGCCGTGGGAGTTACTGGAGTCTTGTATTTAAGAAAAAGATTAGAAGAACTGAGACCACCTGAGTGAGTCACCTGTTTGAGTTTAGTATTAAAAGAAAACTACCTTCAACAAGGACAAGTATGGCAGAGCAGATAAAACCTCATACACATTAAAAACTAGAAATTGATCCAGTCAGCACTTGAATGCCCATTATAGCTTTCAGGCTGGGTTCTCTCAAAATTTTTAAACATAAAGTACTTGACCATTGATAATTTAATGAGGTAATACTGCAGTTAGTGTGAAATACATTTGAATGACATCATATTATAATATAATTTGGTATTTGTATACCAAACAGTATGATATAGGTTGTAAACCAGTGTTGAGTGCCAAATAATTTTCTTCAGAAACTGATTTTCATGCCATCCATTCTTAATATTTTCAGCTCATTTGCTTTTCTGAGGTGATTTGTATTGGTCATAAGTTTGCATTTTTCAGAGCAGACTTTTTGGTGCTATACCACTGTTGATGAAATAGGAAGAATTTCATAATACTTGATTATGATGCACACCAGTAAGATGTTTCTTGTAAAAATAATGATTTGGAAGCTGATTTAAGACATGGCAATTGCAGACAAAAGAAAGAATGAGTTACATCTGTCAGTCTGGGGCACAAGTACACTTCTTGCTGTTGACTGTTGCCTCTTTTCCTGATGAATTAATACTTACAGATGGACTCCCTAGTCTTGCAGTGCATTTAATGGTAACCACCTTTTTTATTTTCTCAAATGGTTTCTCTCTTTGCAGGTTGTGCTTCAAAATGCTAATGAACATCAAAGTATAAATACAGAAGTTATACTATTTTTTTCATGGCAAGTTAGGATACACTAATTCTTTTTTTAAACCCATTTTTTAGAGTCAGTGTTGTTTGGAAAAGTCATTTTAGATCTTTTTTTCACTGAATAATTTTGAAATTTGGAAGAGATAAGAGATGCAGGTTAATATTTTAGGTGTATTTTGTGACTATAATTTATACCTGCAAACTCGATTTCCCAGTGCTAATTACAAAAGGAACTTTATTGGTTGTGGGAAGGAGTAATTACTAAAGCAGTGTCAATCTTATGTGACAGCTAAATACTTGAATAAACTGTCCATGTGCTTTTGCTGCCTTGCTAGTGGTTGCAGAATCCAAGAGAAAATACGAAGACTGACATTCTGGAAAACAAGCCATCCAAATATGCTCTGCAGAGAATTTTGCTTTGCTCTGTGATCCTATGAAAGAAGTAATGAATTATGAATCCTTGTCATGTGGCCAAAATACTTGAACTGGCATCACATCTTTAAACTTGTTGATTCTCTCCAGAAAGCAGGGGAAAGCCTCAAATTGTTTGAATTTGAGGCTCAGCTGGTAATCAGGATATCTCTCTAGGCAGCTTTCAACAAATTTAAAATCAAAACCTTAATTACTGAGAATACTGTGATTAGAGCCTAGGGGTACTTGAAGGAGATTATTGGGAAGGGGAAAGGGGTTGCAGGCATTCATCAAAAGCTAATGAATGTGTAACTTTATTAAGACCAAGGCTTTTTTTGCTCAGTCTGAATGTACCTTTTATTAGGTGAAGAAGAGAACTAGTAACTTCCACACCAGTTAAAGGATGTGTGTAGTGAAGACTATCCAATGATGGATAAGCAAAACATTTTTTTGCATCTCCCTTGTCTTACACAAATTCTGTAAAATAGGTATTGATGTGCCCATAGGGAGTCAGCCCTCTGCTCTTTAACACACTGCCAGTATCTCACTTTCTAGAGGGGTATGAAGACAAACAGCATCAGGATGCTGGCTTGTGGCAGCCTTGGTCAACTCTGTTGGGTTTTTTCCATTTTTTTTTCTACTTTTAGACAAGAATCTGCCCTAGAACAGTGTGTGATGAGAGAGCATAATTCATTTTTACTTCACAAGGAAGCCATGTCATTATGATGTACAGAATTTTCTTCTACAGTTGCTAATTTCAGATAGAAGGGCAAGCAGCTATGGAGTTCTAAATTTGAAAAACTCTGTGTCTTTATCCTCTGTAGCAGCTTTAAGTCTGTTGCACTTCACTCTGTATTATATGATTTGAACTGATTTATGGTTTCTGACCTACTTGTTCCTACAATCCTGCTTACCTTGCAGGCAGAAACATAAGGTTTCATGAAAGACATGCTCTCAGTTAGTACCAGTCTTGACCTTTGACTTGTGCAGAGTTGTTATAGTAAATAGATAATGCCATTTCTTTAAACTCTTAATTTTTCTACTTTTATAGTATAGCTAAAAAGGAATTAGAAAAACCCTTTCCTTGCTACCTGCACAAAGTTTGAGGAGAATATCAGAGGGGAAAAATTTCTCTGTCTTGTGAACAGGATATTTTATTAAATTTACATGCTGTATAGTATTACATATTTGTAATATTTTTTTTTACCTTTTAGGCTTTGAAATATTATCTGATAAACTTTCTTTTCCAATGGAAAGGCTTAATCATTCTGTTTAGCTAATAAAGTGATGTTAGTGACATTGGATAATGCATTGTTCTGTCTTGTTGAGCAAGCCCTGTTATTGCCACCTTAATTATAAGATGCTTGGCTTTTATATTCTGTATAAAGTACTATGTGTGAACAAATCATAAAATTCTGGTGCTGACACACATGTTGAAATGGAAGATAATTGAGCATGTGCAAGGAAAGGAAGTTGTTCTGTGTTTCAAAATGGAAGGTTGACCAGCTATCATTGTTCTTGTATTCCAGGAGTAAATTTCTTGGTGGAGGCCTGCTGCCTCTCACATGTGCCTCTACACAAAAGCATGCCAGTGCTGTTTGATGATTGCATGTGTCTGTGTTGGCAAATGGTGCTTTGGAATGGCAGTTTGAAAAAATCTTGAACCTAGTTGTAAAGGTGGGGTTTTTGACTCTTTGTCAGTACCTTTAGGAACATTAGGGGGGAAAATAATTTAAATTACTGGGGACAGAGATATGTGAAAGTGAAAGCAATTTCATATTCATAATACATGACTAGAATGACTGTCCTTTTATTTAAAAAATACCCCTTTTTGACAATGCTGGTGAAGTTTCTGGAGATAGGTCGGATGGTTACTTTTACATTTATAACTATCAAAATCCCTTGTCAATGTCCATCCTTAAGGATGCTGTTTATTAAAATTGACCTCTAGTTACTGGAAACTGCGTGAGACAGTGTGGAGCAGCAGCTGAGCATGTTTGAGATGCTGGGATCTGCCTTGTTAATTTCTGTTGCAAATCAAAGCTGCAAGTATTTGACTGTTACATTGATTTGAATGGCCATCAACTTCCATGATTATCCATTAAAAGGCATTGTATGAGTGAGTTCCTGAGCTGAGACTGAGACGTGGCTTATACAGCGTGTGTGCTGAATATACTGCATTCAGGTTACAAACTTGGAATAGAAAATTACTGAAGGCATTCAGAATGAAGTGTTTAACATGCTACCCTGAGAACTTCATGACTTCATAAACTTCAAGGTCTTCTACAGTGACATTTCCTCTGAACTCATTTTTTCATAGGCATGTATGTCTTGATTGATTTCTCAAACTGATCAGGCTTGGGAGGCTTTTTCATGCTTAATTTTTGGCTACTACAATAACTGGCCTTTTATATTTAAACCAATTCTAAACAAAAAAGTATTAATGTAAACTTATCTATTTGTTGTATCACAACTGCTGTTTTAGCACAGATGTTTAAGAATATACTTAGTAGTTGAT